TACTGGACCAACCCAGCAGCACCCCAGCTGCTCTGCCCCAGGTGTCCCCAAGTCAGCCGCTGCTGAAACTGACCAGTGGCTGACTACAGGAAGCCGCTGCCCTGGGCTTGCTGGAATCAGCCACTGATCAGTTTCAGCAGCAGCTGAATCTGGACGCCAGTTCCGACTTACATACAGATTCAACTTAAGAACAAACCTACAGTCCCTATCTTGTACGTAACCCAGGGACTGCCTGTAATCAAGTTGATAGGAGATAAACTCGTTACCCTATCAGTTTAATTTCAGCAGCAAATTACTAGTTAATGTTTATGTTGATTTCTGTGCATAAAGTTACTCACATGGATTTGTAGAATCAGAGCCCATGTGTATAAGTTTTATAGATTTATTTACAGATAAAAATATTTTCTGTTTGCATATGTAGAGGGGTTATTTTTTGCCCTGCAAACACAAGCATAATAGATGACTGTTTTAGATACAGCTAATAGATCTCTGAACAGACTACATCTTTTTCTATAAAGGATTCTTATGTCCCTCAACTTAGTATTACCATTGACATAGAATATAAGTATTCACTTCTTAAGAAATTTGAGAGGGAGTAGTGTTACTACTTTTATTTAACTATGACTTTTCTGTGTTTAAATTTTACAGCCCTGCTTTGCTTTTGGTGTCTGTGCTTGGATCTTTGGTTGTAATTATAGCATTAACCCTGTACAGACATCAGCATCCTGTTAATTTATACCTGCTCTTTGGATTCGTAAGTATCCCTATAATCTCATTCTTTACATGCTCAGTGTAAATGTTATTTGGAAGCAACTTTTTAAAACCAATCAGCGGTGTCTAATTTATTTCATTGTACCTTTTTGGGGGGTGTAATATAAAATTCTCAGTCCTTCAGAATTTTTGTATGCTCTGGCTGCACTTAGTTCCCTGGTATCTTTCATTCAGTCATTTGCAAATTTCCTTATGGAAAGAATACATCATATTGGGCTTTAAATAGGCGTCAGCAAAGTTTGTTTTGTTTTAATATCTCCCTTGACTTTAAGGACATTTTTATTGTCTATAATAGTAGTGGGAAACTTGTGGCCCATTAGGGCAGTGTTTCCCAATTTTATTTGGCCACGGAACCCTTTTCAACTAGAAAGAATGTTGCGGAACCTCTGACTGACTGCGCACGCAGCGCTGAGTAGTCGCATCATCGTCCCACTCTGGCTAAGCTGGCATTACCCAGGGACACTTATCGTGGCGCAAACAAATTAAAATTGTTTTCAATAAAATTCAAAAATGAATGAAAATTCCATTCCATTACAATAATTCAGGTTGTAATGGAATTTTCTCACTGAACCCCTGTTTTCACTTTGCGGAACCCATGGGTTCCGTAGAACACCATTTGGGAAACACTGCATTAGGGTAAGACACCTGCAGGCTGTAAGGCAGTTTGTCCGTGATCTCCAGCCTTTTTAAGCATGAGATCACTCTTTGAATTTAAGTGCAATCCAAGATCTACCTCAAATCCAAATACCCTTGCCCTGCCTCCTTTGTGCCCCCTTTCCGAGGCCTCACCCCTGCTCACTCCATCCTCCCTCACTTTCAGCAGGTTGGGGCATAGGGTTAGGGTGCAGACTCTGGTCTTGGATTAAGGGATCTGGAGTGTGAGAGGGTCTCTGAGCTGAGCTTGTGGCAGGCAATTGGGGTTCCAGAGGGGGTTCTAGGTGCAGGCTCTGGGAGGGTGTTTGGATGCAGGGGTGCTTGAGGTGCAAGAGGGGGTTCATAACTGGGGTAGGGCTTCAGGATGTGGGCTCCAACTGGGCACTTCTTACCTCAAGCTACTCCTGGTTGGTGGTGCAGTGGGGCTAAGGCAGGCTCACCCCTGCCCTGGCCCTGCTCCTCTCCCAAAAGCAGCTAGCAAACTCCCTCCATCCCAAGCCCTGTTGTTTCCCCTCTCTGCTCTGTGGAGATAGGATACCATGTGGGAGGATACCTTGACATCAGTGCTCCTCTTCTCCCTCCCCTGTCCTGCACAGCAAGCAGGAGGTCTGGGGATTGGGGGAGGCATTGCCAAGGCAAAGGAGATGTGCAGCAGTAGCGGGGAGAGGCAGTTGAAGTGCTTGCACTTGATAACCTCTTGGCCAAACCAGTCAGGATCACCTGTCAGCAGTTCCAAGATCTACTGGTTGGTGACCGCTGGTTTATGTTAAACCTCTGCAGGCAAAGCCCCCCTGCAGCTCCCAGTGGATTTCTCGGTGGATTGATAAGGTGCTGAATAAGATACACAGCACTCAAGGAAATTTCTGTGTTACCAAACGTACCAAACTTAAACAGTTGATAACTATGGTCAAGCACAGTTACTGAAAGGGACTAATAGCAGCTTCCAGTGCAGAAGATTAAACTATCTATTTTCTCCTTGGTGATGAGTTTTTTTAACATGTTTCCAATCCAAAGAGCATATGAACGATCTAGTCTCAAATCTGGATCACCTTCAGGATAGTATATAACTATCAGTCTGCACATATGTAGAATTTTGTAGTTATCACAGTTACTCTGACTGTCTAAGGCAGGAATTTTCAAAGTTGGGTCACGGACCTGCCTGGGTAAGCTGTTGGTGAACCACAAGATGCTTTGTTTATCTAAGCATCAATAGGCACAGAGCCTCATAGCTCACATTGGCATGGACTACACCACTTCATGCAGCTCTCCTTGTCTGGAAATGGTGAAACAAAGCCAATGGGAGCTATGAGGCTCTGTACCTTTGGACGCTTAGATAAACAAAGTGTCTTGTGGCCCACCAATGGCATACCCAGGTGAGCCCGCAACCCAACTTTGAAAACTACTGGTCTAAAGTGGGGATGTAAGCGACTAGTTGATTATCTGATAAGCATAAGCTTATCCGATAGTCAACTAGTGATGTGACTAGTCGCTTCCCCTCCCTTGCTGCCTCTATCAGAGAGAGGCAGCAAGGATGGGGGAGGGGGAGCTGGTTCTGGGGGGGAGCTGGCTTAAAAGCCGGTTCCCCACAGCGCAATCTCCATGGAGGGTAAGGCAGGTAGAGGCACAGCAGAAAACAGTGCAAGCGGAGACTGAAGCAGTATCGGCTCGTGCTGCTTCTGCTGCAATTCTGCTTTTGAAATGTACAGAAGCCCCACTACCCCACTGAGAGTACAGGGCCAGTGAGGGAACTCCCCTGCTGGCCCCGCACTCCCTGAGGGGCTCTGCTTTTGAACTGTAGCAAGAGCTACAGTCCTAGAAGGCAGTATTCCATTGGAGAGTCAGTGCAGCCTAGCTTCCATCTGCTGTGCAGCTCTGCCCTATCAGAAATGGGGGTTGGACCTGTGGTACATAATTCACTGTGTCCTCGGTGCCTCATGTGTTTGGATGGGAGCTATGCTTCCTCAAAAAACTGGATACATGGTTGCTCCCCCCTCCCTTTCTGTTTTGGCAGGGATTCAAAGGAATTCTGCAGGGACGGTGGGGGAGCATTTTCTGCAGATGCACAGTACCACAGAATTCCCCCAAGATAAACATGATAAAAACAGGCAAGGTGCTGTTCTGAAAGTAAATTTTTCCCTCATGGTGTCTAATGAATATTAAAACTAAGAAAAATTCCAAGTTTTGTTTCAGTCCTGTGCCAATACACAGTAGTGGATTTGTTTTCAAGCTGGTTGGTCGAGGGAAAGGAATTAAGGACACAAGTTACTTCCCTCCCATAGTCCTAAATATCCCAGGGAAAGTATTTTAATACTGAAAAATATAGAGTGAAACTGAAAACAGTTCAATTATAATAATCATTCCAAGAAACCTACCTACTTTTTTTATTGTTGTTTAAGGGAAACGTGTTACGCACATTACTTAAAACGGTCACGTACCATATATGTAGATGGGCTGTAAAATGCTCTCTTTTGGATAAACAAGAAGTCGTCCTGTGGCACTTTAAAGGCTAAAAGATTTATTAGAGCATAACCCACTTAATTAAGAGGGGTGGGTTTTACCCATGAAAGCTTATGCCCTAATACATTTGTTAGTCTATAAGATGCCACAGGACTCCTCGTTGCTTTTGCATATACACACTAATACAGCTACCCTTCTGAGACTTCTCTTCTGGATAGTAAAACACATGGTAGTTTCCTTTTTTTGAGAGAGAGAGCGCGCGCTTTCCATTTTAAAACTGGAAGTATTTTAACAAACATGTTTCTATAGCACATGATACATTCTGCATATAGTAAAAGATTATGTAGCAAAATTCAGGTTGAACCTCTCTAGTTTGGGGCTCTCAGGACCTGACCAGTGTCAAATCAAAGAATTTGCCAACAATGGGAGGTCAATATTATCTAGCAGTATTACCAACTCTTTCACTGCTTACTGGGCTCTTAGAAGACATTTAGGAGTAAATTAGAGCTAAATAACAAAACAGAACACAGAGCCAGGACTGGTGGTTGCAAACAAACTTTATGGGACCACAAGAAACTAGGCCACACCCATGGTAGGTGGACATCCAGCTAACTAAAAGCATACTGGGCCATGGAGATCGCTGGACCAAAGAGTGCCAGACTAGAGAGGTTCAACTTGTACTTAAACTACAAACTGGCAAATGTGTAGTGTTTCCATATGAATACTTTTAGTTTGTTTTTTTTTCTATTTCTTCTCATAGACCCTTTTGGAAGCGTTGACTGTTGCTATTACAGGTAAACGCTAGTCATTTTAATATTGCCGTTGGTTTCAGATAGAAATAGCAAAAAGAAATGTAAACATTGTACCCATTGCTGTTTAAAGCTGACAAACGTGAACTGGCTGGTGATGGAGTGCTTATTTTGGGTTTGCACACAACTTCAATACCTGTAGCAAAGTCATGGGAGCAGGAGGAGGAAATCAAATTTTAATAGGAAGAAGGAATGACTTGGGAAAAATAGATGTTTTAATTACGTTTTGGACTCCTGTGACTTGACTGTTAGATAGTAGGAGAAAAGATACCACTTTACCATTTCAAGAATGGTCTGAAAATGTTCTTAGCATAGGTGCAAAAGATTCAAGGTGTTCATTTAAGAAAGCTAACCCTATACAAAATGTGAAGAACCCACAAATGTAAAAGTATATGGTACATGTGCACTGTATATATCTGTCGCAAGATTGTTTGGTCAAATCTAAACATCTGTCACTTTGTCAATCTATAAATACAAAAACCTCATCACAATGTTTAAGCATTTATTAAATAAAAAACACAGTTTTGTTATATTCAAAGCATACTATTTTTAAATGGTGATTTTCTTTTTTCTGTTTACAGTGTCACTTTATGATGTATCAGTTGTCTTACAAGCTTTTATTCTGACGACTGCTGTGTTTCTTGGACTGACTATGTATACTTTGCAGTCCAAGAGAGATTTCAGCAAATTTGGAGCTGGGTAGGTACCTTATGAAACTATTAAAAAAGCATAAGTATTACAGTTACAGGAATAAAAGTCAGGCCTACAGAAAGCTGAATTGTGTAATTGACTTAAGTGAATGTTATTGGCAGGGCTCGACAAATTATGGTACTCTCCAGACAAAAAAAGGGACTCACCACCCTCCCCCACAAAGTTATTTTTAATGGCATAAATTCCAAATAAGAACAGTAATTACTAGTAAGTTATTAATAAATATCACCCACGTTGTTATTAAATCTTATAAACCTCTACCTTTTCTCTCTGCTGCCATGCCTCCTCCCCTTGCTCCATCAGCTCCCCTGGTGCCTGCTGCCCCCAACCCCTCACCCTCTGCTGTCCTGACTCCTGCCATTCTCGTTGCCCTCAGCCTTCCTGAGACCTGCCCCCTTCCACCAGCCCTTCTCTCCCCCCTGTGCCCATTCCTCCAGTAGCACCACTCTGATCATGTGAGCTACCCCTTCTCATCCCCTCTCCTAACACCTCCCTCTACACACCCGCCCTGCCTCTCTCTGGTGCTGGTCCCTCCCCTGCAGGTGTCTGCCCTTCTGCTTCACCCCCAGAATCCCTCCTCTGGCACCTGCTCCCTCCTGGTGCCTCCCCCTTCCCTTACTGCCCCTGCCCCCTTTGTCCTCTTTTTCCCTGATACCCACACCCTCACCACCCTCTGCCCCCATTTCCCTCATGCCCCTGTGCCCTCACACATGCCTTGCTCCATCCCTGCCTTCCTCATGCCCACCCCTTCTTTTAAGCCTTCTCCCAGCACCTCCCCTTCCCCCCTCTAGCCTCCAATGCCCTTACCGTCTCCTCTCCCGGCATCATCCTGTCCCCCCTCCTGCTGACACCTCCCCTCCTGCCCTTTTCCTCACTGTCTGCACTTGACCCCCTGGCATTTCTCTCTCCTGCACCCCTGTCCCTTGGTGCCTTCTCCTTTCTTCTTCTTCTTCTCCTGACCTCCTCCCCTCCCCTCCGCTTCCCTCTTCTCAGCACAAGCCCCTTCCCCTCCGCTACCTGGCTTCTGCCTTCCACTTTGCGGGGTTGCCGGAGCCTTTTTGAATCCGGTGGTCGCCAGGTGCGACGTCAGGACACCACGTCATGCCAGCCCATCTGCCGGCATCCCGCCCTCTGCACAGAGGCAGCCCGGCACTGGGAATCACCGCACTTCCCCCTTCTCAATGGCGCTCTGCTCCTCTACCAGCCGGCAGATTGGATGGGGTCGTGCCGCCCGTAGTGCGGGCATCGGCCAGCCCATCACCATGGCCCACTGGGCCAGTCTGCCCCTGCACTCGCCAGCTGGTAAAATCTACTCACCGCGGGCGAGTGTATTTGTCGAGCCCTGGTTATTGGTGTTGTGAGTTTTGTTTTTTGTTATTATATAGGCCCCCTCCTTTAGCACATAGTTTATTTTGTAGTTGTGCTATTTGTCAACAAATATACAAATTTGAGTATTAGCATTACACAAACAAATGTTTATTCATATTTTACACTGAACTATCGAGAACTTTCAAACAGTAAATCATTAACAATAGTTTTCATTAATACCTACAGTAGAGAAATTTGATGTTATGGTTGGCATCTTAGAAGTGAGTGGATGGGTGGTGGAGTTTGAGTGTGTTTCAATGTATTGGCAAAAAAACAGAGTATTTAAGGTGTTTTTCTGTGGGATGAACAAATTTGAAGAAAATTTTGAAAAATGCTGATATCTAAAACACAAATGCCTTTTTCTCCCCCAGGCTGTTTGCTTGCTTGTGGATTTTGATCCTCTCCAGTATCTTGAGGGTAAGATATTATATTGTGTTCAGGTCTAGAAGTAATTGTTTGAAATAAGTTACTAAAACAATATTCTTGACACCTAATTATGCTTTTTAAAACAATACAGTTGTTAGAATAGGACATGTTTGAGATCCTTTAGAGAGTGAAATCTATACAAATCTTGGAATGGAATTATCAAAAGTACCAAAGTGACTTAGGATCATCAGTCCCATTTTCAATACATCTTCACTTTCAATGGCACTCCTAAGTAACTATGGTACTGTTGATAATTGTATCTTTGATCTGTAATAAGACAATATATCATAGTGTCTCCAACTAGTTAACTATAAGGGGAAACACTACAAGTTAATATAGTAATGATGAATTATTTGTAATTAAACTGATAAAGTGTAATGCTCAGTCAGAAATTTGTAGAAATCTTTCATATTGTAAGATTAAAAGCAATAGGTATTTACTGATGCAATCTATGATTGTTATTTGTGAGGGTTATGTTGTAATTTTTTTACTACAGTTTTCTAATTGAACCAGGCAAACTGGCTGAAACTGTAGTAAAGTTGACTGAAACTGTCAGTCAAATAGATGAAAATAATTGGTTGGGTGGGAAAGTCAACATGTTTTTTTGAAAAGGGAAATCATGCCTCACTAGGGATGTGAAGGATTAGTTGACTAGTCACACACTCCACCCCTTTTTTGCCTCTATCAGAAAGAGGCAGCAAGAGGAGGAAAGGATGGGGTACTTCAAAGCGGCAGCGCTGCATGGAGCCTGGGGCAAGATGCAGGACTCCACATGGCACTGCTGCTTTGAACATAGCTGTGGGAGCCCAGAGTCAGCTCCTTGCAGCATTTCAAAGTGGCAGCACCGCACAGAGCCTGAGGTGAGCGGGGAGTCCCCAGCTGACTCCAGGCTCCACATGGTGCTTTTGCCTTTAAAAGTGTATCAACAGTCCTAGGGCTGTTGCTACGCTTCAAAGGCGGAGGTGTCCTGTCGATGCAAAATGCATCAACTATTCGATTAAACAATTACCTGAAATTTAACATCCCTATACTTCACCAATCTATTAGAATTCCTTGAGGGGGGTCAACAGGGATGTGAACAAGGGGGATCCAGTACCTAGTCTACTGGATATACAGTGTACCTAGATTTCCAGAAAGCTTTGACAATGTCCCGCACCAAAGGCTCTTCAGTAAAGTAAGTTGTCATGGGATGAGAGGGAAGGGCCTCTCATGGATTAGTAACTGGTTAAAAGATACAATACAATACAAAGGGTAGACATAAATGGTCAGTTTTCTGAATGGGGAGAATTTACTAGTGGTGTTCCCCAGGGATCTGTATTGGGACCAACATACATGAACTGGAGAAAGGGATAAAAGGTGGCAAAATTTGCAGATGATACAAAATTGCTCAGTGTAGTTAAGTCCTGTAAAGAGCTTCAAAAAGGAGTGGGCAATTAAAGTTCGATGAAATTCGCTGTTGATAAATGCAAAGTAATGCACATTGTAAAGCATCATCCCAACCATACATATAAAATGATGAAGTCTAAATTAGCTGTTGCCATTTGAGAGAGATCTTGGAGCTATGGTGGATAGTTCTCTGAGTACATCTATTCAGTGTGCAGCTGCAGGCAAAAAAAGCAAACCATGTGACTCACTACAAAAGAGATACATAATAAGACAGAGAATATTTTATTGCCTCTATATAAAACCATGGCACATCTGCATCTTGAATACTGAGTGCAGGTGTGATCGCTTCATCTAAAAAAAGATACATTGAAGTGGTTCAGAAAATGGCAACAAAAATGATCTGGGGTATGGAACAACTGCCTTTTGAGGCAAGATTAATAAGCATGGGACTTTTCAGCTCAGAAAAGAGACAACTAAGCACCATGGTCTTATTCTTGAGTTTTAAGGACTGCTAAAGCAGAATGCTTAGTTCCTTTTTTATGGGCAGTACTTTGTACCTTCAACAGCAGTTTAGGCCTTTATCTTGCAAACACTTCTGTACGTGCTTAACTTCACTACCATAAATAGTTTTACTAAATCAGTATTATATGTGTAAATATATTGAATTTTGAAGTAGATAATATCTAATCCACTTATCTCACAAGAATGGTGACACTCACCTAAAACTTCAGTGGTGGGGATGTTAATTTGAGAGGGGAAAACAGAAGTGTAGAATTTCTTCTACTACTACTGGCTTTTAGCAATATGTATATTCCTGTTGAAGGGCAAAATCAGGGCTGCCAACATAGGGGAAGGGGGCAGTTGCTGTGGGTGATTTAAAGGACCCAGGGCTCCAGGCTCATTAAGTCACCATCAGAGCCCCTGTGATGTGGTCTGGGTGGTCCTGAGGGTTAGCTGCACCTCTTCTGGGCAACTTGAAGCTGAGGCCTTTCTCCTTCCCCCCACATTGCCCAAGACCTGGTGAAGACTGTCACCAGCCCTGGGCAAAATATTTACGATTGTCTAACTGTAGTTCTGTTTTAATACTGAAGTGCCTTTATATAAGAAATTTCAACTTACAAATGTTTTTCCTTCTCGCATTATCATTTTGTTATAGTTGTTTTTCTATAGTGAGACAATAGAGCTGTTGTTTGCTGCTGTGGGAGCGCTGCTGTTCTGTGGATTTATCATCTATGACACTCATTTGCTGATGCACCGACTGTCCCCTGAAGAGTATATATTGGCTGCCATCAATCTCTACTTAGATATCATCAATCTGTTCCTACATTTGCTGCGCCTTCTAGAAGCATTAAATAAAAAATAATTCTAAGTTGTCCATAATGAAACACCATCATAAATAGTAAAATTTGATGTATAGAAGGTTGTGTCTAAATAGAGTTGGTTTTGATGATGTACAAACTACATTATATTTTTTTAGAATAAATCATACTATTTTCCACTGCATGGTTCCTGACACTTTTTCTTGAAAATAAAATAGTTTTATGTAACTGATGTATTTCTGTTCAAAATACATATTTTTACTTTAATTGCAAGATGCAGTCATTTGTTACTTTTGTAAAAGGCTTCCTTTTTCCCAAAGTAGCTTTTGATGAAAACGCTTGTCACCTTCTGATAGCTCTAATATGTACTGTCAGAAAATCCAATCATTTTATTTCTGCTATCCTATAATTTTGCAGATGATTAATCTGTCTGGATAGTATAACATTGTCTCTTCATTTTGTTGTTGTATAGTGATGTTTTACATTAGTTAAAATTCTATAATTCTAAAAACTTATATTAATAGGATCTTGATTTAACAGACTTGGAATTATTAACCAGTATAATGTAACTACACTTCTTTGAAATGATTTTAATCTACTTTGATTTAGAGCTATGTGATTATTTTATTAGCAAGGAAAAGTATATAAAGAACAATGCAAAGCGCTAGTGCTCAATTATGTATTATCTTTCATCTGTTGATTAACATTAATGCCATTAAAAGAGGGAATGTAGTTTGTGTATAAAAATGTTGAATCAGTATTGAATAATAAATGTGTATGCAGTATAATTGGAAAAATCTTAATCCTAAAATGTGTTCATCTAGCTGTATGGATTTGAGAGCTCCAAAGATTAGAGCGAACTATACATGTAAACTATTGCTTAGCAGCAACATTTGTTACTTGGAAGACCTTGATTCTGGTATGAATGTGGATTCTATTTTCTAGAAATGTTGGAAATACCAGTGAGGACAAAATAAAGGGAAGCAAAGTGAAACTTATTTTTCGCAATAAAGAACTGGAATAGTTTAAGATCAGGTATGGTTTTGGGTTACTGAGATGTTGGTAAAGGAAGACTATAAATGAATGTGCTACCTGTTTGTACTTTGAACTGTATGAAGAAATATAATAAATTTTAAATGCTGGGTAATATGGACAGATCTCAATCTCTGAAGTTACTTTTATATTGTGTGTTTACTGTTATTTTTATCTAGAAAATAGTACTTTATTTTTCCTCAGGTTTATCAGCAAATAAAATGTTTGTTTAATTATTTAGTATTGAAATATGATCAATCATTAAACAAAAGACTAACTTTGCTATCCTGCAGTATAGTTATGTATGTTTATTCACTTCGTCATGCTCTCAGAGTACAGGCAGTCCCCGACTTACACGGATCCGACTTATGTTGGATCCGCAGTTACGAACGGGGCTGCCCCGGAGTACACGGACTGCGGGACCTCACGGTCCCGCCGCCTGTGTACTCCGGGGCTTTCTCCGCATCTCCCTGGTCTTCAGACCAGGAAGACGCGGAGCAAAGCCG